CGTGTTTTCTGGTCGGTTGACTTTTTTGTGTGGCATGGTTCCATTTGATACTTCTCTTCTATTAATCATTCGGCCTAGAAATAACGAACTTCCAATACCTTTGTTTTACGAATTATAGTCCAGAAATCATCAAAAAATTATTTCATTGCGCCGAAGACTGCAAAGAAGTTAAATCACTTTGGAATTAGCAAAATCTAAAACAAAAAGGGCCTAAAGGTCCAGAATAAATGAAAAAGAAAAAAAAGAACGTTACTGAACAGCCTTTTCCAATTCCAAAGCAGGAATATTTTGTTGTGTTTTACGTTAGAAACAAGACGGAAATCTATTTTAAGACAGAATAGATGACAGACCACCCAGGCTGACCGGAAAACCGGCAACTCGTAACAGCTGAGAATGTCCAGAAACAGTTGCCAAAAAGAAAATAGCAAAAACGAATTAAAAAATTTCCTGAGTTGGACGATAGTATCACAGCACGGTTTATTCTTTGACGAAAAAAAAATAGACGAGATTTGTAAAGATGTGCTTTATCCCAAAGCTTCATCTTACACCTTTACTCTGGTGTGTGGAAATTTTTCCCATTTTAAAAGAAAATAAACAAAGCAGTATCCCCGGAAATGGATCTATCGTACTTAGCAATCTTTTTTTGAGGACATGAAAGACAAAGGGAAAAGTTGTTTCAATCAAAAGAAGAAATTTCAGATTTTTAAATTTCATTCTGAAATAGAAATCGTTTGATTCAATTCAGTGTTTTTGTTTCGGTACTTGTGTTTTATTCTGACTGGATCATTTGAAACCCTCGACTTTTCCTTTAATCGTTGGCAAAATGCACGAATCTTAGTACCAATTTACGCTTGTCAAACTGTGGGATTGACTTCTGTTTATGCATACAGTTCAAGCATTTCTATCTAGCTGAGAAGATACTGTAGCCAATATAAAATTGGCACGATAAGGCACTGCCAAATGGCAAGTTATTCAAGGTGTTTTTAATTTTCTTGACACTTTCTCCAAGTTAGATTGAATTGTTTTCCAATTTTTTTATCCGTGTAATTTTTTTGCATATATTTTTACCATGTCACTGAACTATGCCACCGTGCGGGTGATTCTCCTCCATGAGAACAGAATGCGACTTTTTGCGACTTTTTAGCGATTTTTTAAGCTAAGGCTTGGAAAGCCAACTCCCCAGTTCGAACTTCTAGCTCACAAGTCTCGTGCTACCTTTTCAAGGCCACGGCCCTAAAAAAGTACAGAACTGTGATTTCATATCTCCAACAAGACAGCCATTTCCTTCCGTTTTCTTTAACTTATAAAATATTTTGGTTGTCTTTATAGTCCCATCCAATCCACTGAGCAGATAGTCTTTTTAATCAGCTCGTAAAGCATGCTAACTGTTACACGACCTTCATGCCTTGTTTCCTTTCTTATCTATTGTAACACTTTCTAAGAAAAGGGTGTCACATGGCTGAGTACGTTGGACGGTATACAAGAGTTTCATTCTCACTAGAAAAGCAAATATTATTGCCAACAATTATATACTTTTTTCTTGTTAAAAGGGATAGAAACTCCGGCTAACTGTTTGAATATCTAAATCCAAAAGAGCGCGTTACTTTGCATGTGTCTTAGGTGGCATTGTGACCATGGTAACGTCTTGGTTTAAGATATCCACTTTAACGTTTAGGCCATAACCCTGCATTCCTCACCTTGGAACAAACAGAATTAAAATAAACACTTACTTAGAAAAGAATAGATACTTCAGTTACAACATTATTTTATGATGAGAGTAGAGATACTTTCAAAACCCCTCGAACAAAAAGCAGATGGCACTAGAAGATATTTCTAAAATTCCTCCAAAAAACTTGCCCATTAGTTCATGTCAAATCAGATAATTCTCGGGGGGTTACTACCAGTACTTGAAATTTTCCATTTGCACTTCCTATTTTGAGTGACAGCCGCTTGTGAAAGGGGCTTCTAGTCGTTCCGGTTTCTTAACCTTGGCGCATTTTGAAACGCAGCCATATAACTGAAAATCAAACAATACGGATTCAGTCCTTATCTCACAATAGTCAGTCGTATCTCAAGAGTTTCTCGTTTATTTAGGACCCTGGACTATTTAAAACCAAAATATGTTGTGTACAGAAACACGATCTATAATAATTCCGACGCGACTTAGATCAGGTATGCACCTTTGAAGGCAGTGTCAGATTCTGCTGGAGACCAGCGATCTGAACAACAGGCGAAGAGCTGTAGTGAATCTTTGAACGAAAGAAAATCTGTATAGTATGGGTAAGTAGTAGACATTTTATCTGAATGTTGTTAGGGTGCATTACCTATCAGCGTCTTAAACCATCATAAGTCCATGTGCTCTTTATAAAATATCCAGGCTTACTGAGAATGATTTGATTATCGTCACAAATTCGCCACTCGGGGAATTCTCTTCCAAGAAATCTTAGATATGATGGAGCGTCAATCCCCAGTTTTATCTCCTTGATCATGAAGAGCGAGATGTTACGCTCCAAGGTTCATAATTGTTCAGTAATATCTGGATTGAACCCAACTGAAGCGAATAGGGCGCCTTTCATTAAATTTGTACTCTCTAGAAATCAATAATGGTACGACAATTTGGCACAGCTTTCGACAATTAAATTGACGGTAGGATATAAGAGCAAAGAAGGGATCCATAACGAATCGTCAGTCTTGTTTGGAAAAAAAAACTCTTTCTTTCTGTCCCTATGTCAAGAGGCACGACAAGGAGCCGTTCCTTTTGATCCAATTTTGAAACAGTTACCCAAAAATCACCACTCTATTTGTCCTGAATAGAATTTTGCCTGATGTGTCGCAGTTATGTTCGATAAAACGCTGGAAAAAAATCCGTCACTTCTGATAGTTTGAGAGCACCTCTAAACTGAAAAACAGAGCGGATGTATCAGTCAATAGGGGTACATATACGCATGTACATCAAATTGTCATTGACCTTACTATGGCATCAATCGTTGCAGCAAAATGTCAGTTGGAAACTTCTCGTTCTGTTGCAATGATTAGTTAACAGTAGGGAAGATGTAGGCGAGGTTGTCTTTTCTTAGATATTTTTAACCTTTTATCGACTACTAATTGAAAGAACAGCGGATGGCACCGTGTCAGATTAAGTAATTAGTCGATGAAATATAACCGTTTGTCAGTTCTATTGCTGTTATTTAGAGGGCAAGCCGAGACCGATGGTACGAAAGCAATAATGAGTGTAAACATGCAGTGAAACCAGATCAAGCCAAGCTTTACATTTCATACGAATAATAAAGAAACTGGTTCAACCAGTTTTTCGAAACTTAAAAAATCTTTACATACTTGTTATAAGATATCTCCCCAATTGGAAAATAATACAAAGAGAATGCTGGCCTTGGCACAAATGAAGCGTCGATAAATCTATATTCAAACTTACAAATTCTCGTCAACTAAGCGATCATCTAAGATCAGTATAAATGTATTTTTGGGTGGGAAAATTTGCTTTAAGGAAGTAAACTTCGTGCGACTATCAGCGTAAACGTCCGATATTAGGGTTGAAAGTTAACCCTAAACATGTTAAATTTGATTTTATGCCAATGTTGATGGTATTTGAATCATACTATGCTTTGGGGGGGTTCAGTGTGCTATTTTAGGAAGCGAATGAGAAAATTTTGCGAAGAAACTTCCCACAGTTCTCATGCTAAAAGCATCAGCTTCCTAACAGGTGTTCCTCTCCCTTCCGAGGGCTTCTTTCATTGTGGTGCGCAAAGTTGAAACTAATATCTGAACGACCACTTTTCTAAATGCACTAAAGTCCACTGGCATTTTCAATAATTAATTTGTCGAGCAAAGATTAGCTGTCTGCCCTTTAGCAGTTATACAGTTCGATAGTGGATATGGGTGTATCCTCTCGTGTCTCGACAAGTTGTAAAACTTGAAGGTCAAGATGGTAGCGTGAACAGTTTCTTTCCAACTATTATCATCTTTTATGGCGTAAATAAGGAAAACGGAGATGTAACGCATGTTACACGTTGCTCTCGACTAGGGCGGTGAGGCGCCACGAAACTCGTGGACATTAAAGGAGAAATTTCTCTCGTTTCTCGTTTCTTTTAGATGATTATAAGAAAGACGGCAAGAAGATGGTCAAAGAAGAGTCCAAGGAAGAGAAAATGTGTGCACAGTGCAGCAAAACAATTGAGGGCAAGTTTTTGCTACGAGCTTTGGACAAGTTTTGGCACGAAGAGTGCTTGAAATGTTCGTATTGCAACACACAGCTGGCAGACTTAAGCTTTAAGTTTTACCTCAGGGAAGATTTAAAACTTTGTAAACGAGACTACATCAGGTAAAGCATAAATGTTTCTTTTCTAATTGCAAGAATAGCTGTGTATTCATCCTCTCTATCATTAAGGAAGAATTATATAGTGAAACTTAAATACGCAGGAACCATTTCTACAGATTTTAAAATTGTTCAATTTTTTTCATTGTAAAATTTTCCTGAAAGCTCAGAAAAGAAAACGGAATACTTCTGTTTGGGATCATTAGATTCTATTGCTGCGAAATAATGATGAAGATAGAAGAAGTATTAGGACTAGTTCGTAAAATTTGTAGATTTTCGCTGTACAGTTTTAAATCCTTTCCATGGTTATAACCTTGGCCCTGATCAGTAACTCCGGTAATTCCACGGCATATCAATTTCCTGCTGAAACTTTTTAAACCTTTTACTAACCATTATACTGAAAACTGGCCAACAGCCAACTTAATCAGTTTATAATTACTAAAAACGGCAACATAGTCCAAAACGAAATAAGAACTTAAGGAATGTTCTCTTTCCTCTTTAAAAACTATATAATAATACAGTATGGTGTGCATTACTAAACGCTTTTTATCATTTTTCAAGCTGGTTGAAAAGATTTTATCTATGATGGACGCTGAGTTAAAATGCTTCAGCTTCCCGGCAAACGTATTGTGAAGTTTGGTTGAATAAACTCTACATGTTGTTAGCTTCTGGCACAAACGGGAAATGGGTACTTGATCAAATTCTATTTCCTTGATCGGAAGGCGACAGTTAATAATAACTACTTTGTTTTGAATAAGGCAACACACTATCGTGTAATAAGTTTGAACCTTGTCGATGATTAGCCAGTGAATGAGCCTTTAACCGTAAATTTCCACAGCGTATTAACAGGTAAAATTACCGGAAATTTTCAAGTGAGCACCAGCTGCTTGCATTGTTAAAATTAACTTGCTGTGTTTTCTCCTTTTTCTTTTATATTTCTGTGTACTCGATAAAGTTTTTTTTGAATATTTTTCAGCTGAGAGATTCTCAGTACACGATATCTGGTATGTGTTCTCTTGATTATTTATTATTACTCAACTGAACGTAAAAACTGCAGATAGACCGTCTTGTTAACATTGAGAGGAGACATTGAGAGAACAACTGATTAGCAACTACAGTAATTAATCAACGACCTTAACAGGATCAACAGTTTGTGAGTGTTCTTACTCAAATCCAGCTGTGAACCTACCTCTCACATTTTTTCTAATTCACTAACACATAAATGTATTCAAAAGATGCTGTATTACTGAAATCAAGCGAGCATTCATGTTCCATTCCGCAGCCATAAAAAAGTTCGTTAACTCATTTCTTCAGGCCTAAATGGCAATTTTCAGGCCTAAGCCTCCACGGGTTAATAATATCACTGCTACCATTCGACCTTCTGTCATCCTTTTAAACAAATTAAATTTGTTATAAGCTGCTTTTGTCTGGGAGCATAAATCTGTCTTCAGTTTTACACACAGGTATCGCAAACAACATAATCGGATCTAAGGGATTATTCCACTAAGTCCGCGTAAATTGATCGAAGACAGCCAGCCTCTTGCACGTGACCAGCTGAGAGGATTGTTCTCAGTGTATTTATAAGACATAGCATGTTTCCCTTTTTATTATTCCAAGCGAAACTACACTCGTGGGGATCATTCTGTCAACTCTGGAATAAATACCCTTACCTATACGTGACCTAATCGACTGAAAGTCATGACTCTTTTCAGTAAGTTAAAAATGTAAAGCAATCTCCATGTTCTTTGTGATAGCTGTTTATATGGCGAGAGATGACATTTCCTTAAACATGAAACTGAATAAAAATGCTATAAGTCATAAATAACCAGCTATGGTAAATTGCTAAAAGTTTTCACCAAATTTTTTAAATAGCTACGAGATTATAACCACACACGGCGTTTCTCATTTCACTGACCTTGGCACGTAGATCAATTTTGAAGTATAATGGGTTTTGTTTACTCTCCCTTTATTTGCTTTAAATTTATCACATGGCAGTGTTTAAGTAACCTTTAATCTACTGCAGACATGCCTTTTTTTAGCAATAAGTCAAGCGATAACTTACTTTGGCTTCTCTTCATCATCATTCAATTTAAATGGGCAGTTTTAAAAATCCTCACTGTTACTTTGATGATGCTTTGGCAATGTTTCCTAGTGACTAGTGAACTTCGATCAGAAGTAGTTATAAATAAAGTCATTGAGTGGCTCAATATTTTAGCAATACCTTGGGG